TGGCCAGAGAGTTAACTAACCCCTTATTACTACTTGATTTATGTTTCTTTTCAACTGCCAAAAGGAAAAAATGATTTTTTAGAGTGTAAAGACCACGAGCAAAACTTATTTGATGTAAAGAACAAGATGCCTGATTTCTGCTTTAATTTTAGACTGTTCTTGTTTTACTCAATGATACCAATATGCATCATTATACTCTTAAAAAGTCTAATTCCATTTCCTTTGGTAGATCTAAACCTTGCTGCTGCTTGTGGACTGATGTAGTGATATTTTACAATATCTGAGTGCACCAGTGATTTGAGCAATGAGTGGTTCAGCCCTAGTCTAAATTGTGCTTGAAACAGCACCTCTAAGCCACTGAAGAGGTAACCCTTGAAGGCACCAAGTACTGTTACATTCTACTATACGCATGTAAAAGATAGGCCTAATTAATAGATTCCAACTGTAGACACAGGCCAGTTATGCCTCATAATTTCAATATATACATCTACTATATTTTAGCCAGATTCAAGACCTTACAGACAATTCTATGCCTTAGTTAGATACACAATTTTAAGAACCATCCCAACCACAAAGGCACTACAATTTTTATATATGGGATGTGAGCAATTATTTTGCTTTTAAGACTCAGAAATATCCCACCATTACCAATGTTCAAAGTAGTAATTTAAAACTAATTTTCAATATTTTTAAGTCTTCATCTATCAAGTTATTCTGAGCAATGAAGGGAGTTATTGTACATTGTTAGCTCTTTCTGAAAACAATTTGTAAAGATAAAAACCTAAGCCTAGCCTAATAAGGAACACATACTTTTGCTTCAACAGGACAGAAGAGACACTTGAAGCCAAACTTCTCAAACAGGCTTTTCCCTAACTATACAAGCTAAGAGGCCTGGAGATAGTCAAAATAGCTAGCGATTTCCAAGCTAGTGCAGGCCGGCCTATTTTCTACATTTTGCCTTAGACATTAAAATCTAGGAAAAAGGGGGAAAGCTAAAAGAATCTTCCATTTCCCCTGAAATAGACAATCCGTGAAAATTTATCTTGTGCCTATAAAAATTCCTTAAACCAATTAAGTCAGAAGTAATCCACAATATAATATGGTTTTTAATGGTTCTAAATAACTATTTTCTTTTAGTTTAAGTTTTCATCCCTGCGAAGGAGTATGAAATAATTCAAGTATGATTTTTGTGATAGTGGTATGAAATATGTATGTCAAAAATGCTATCAGCACACTAATAAGCCAGCTCTTTTCTAAATAAAAATGCCTCTGAATAATCACCATAATTTAAACATACCATTTTAAATCTCTATTGAAAACGGTTTAGCCATCTATGGAAAAAAATGCAGTCATCTGAAATTGTGATTAACCTTATTCACAAACTAAAATTTTAAATGGAAATTAAATTTCTTGGTGACTTGCTGCCTCCCAGCTGCCATTATTGATATAATGATAATTGATTCTTTACTCTGCTGTAACGGGTATCTCAAAAGGAAAGGCAATTGTCTAAAAAATAACCCATCAAAAAATATTTCCTTTTACACGCTACATCTAGAACCATTGTATTTAACAACAGTCTAACGCTTCTCATTCATTTTTGGCAGTGAGGTGTGGACATCTTTCTC